AAGAGTGGGCTAACAAGAACCTTTTGAAGTTCAACAAAGACAAGTGTAAGGTCTTGCACCTGGGAAAACGTAATCCAGGAGTGCAGCGCAGGCTGGGATCTACCCAGCTGGGGAGCAGCTCTGTGGAAAGGAACCTGGGGGTCCTGGTGGATAACAAGCTTGATATGAGTGAACAGTGCGCTTCCGCGGCAAAGAAAGCCAACAGGACGCTGGGTTGCATCAACAAAGGCATCACCAGCAGAGATAAAGAAGTCATTAGCACTCTACTCTGGACTGGTCAGGCCACACCTGGAATCCTGTGTTCAGTTTTAGTGCCTGCTATACAAAAAAGATGTGGACGGGCTGGAGAAGGTCCAGAGGAGGGCCACCAAGATGATCCAAGGACTGGGAAGCCTGCCATATGAGGAAAGGGTGAGAGAACTGGGTTTGTTCAGTCTTGAGAAAAGAAGGTTTAGGGGAGACCCTATCACCATATTCCAGCATTTAAAGGGTGGCTACAAAGAAGATGGAGACTGCTCTTTTTACAAGGAGTCACGTGGAAAAGATGAGGGGTAATGGGTACAAGTTACTCCAGGGGAGATTCCAATTGGACACAAGAAGAAAATTTTTCACAATGAGAACAACAAGCCATTGGAATAATCTCCCCAGGGAAGTGGTGGATTCCCCATCATGGGACACTTTTAAGATTCTGTTGGACAGGGTACTCGGCCATGTTGTCTAGACCATGCTTTTCCTGAGAAAGGTTGGACCAGATGATCCTTTAGGTCTCTTCCAACCTGGCATTGTATGATTCTTGATTCTATGATGAGGAACTTCTTCTGAGACTGAATGAAAGTACCAGCTGCCATGTTTATATTTATCTTGAAAGGTCTGTGGGCTGTAGTCTGACAGGTAACATGTAGTGAAGTTTGTAAATTGAGGGAGCATCCACTTTAGATCACATTGTGAAGTTTCTTCACCCTATTATTTTCAAATATAAAATGCCCAGACTTAAAGAGTGAAGTGAAAGGTTAGTAGCACCAAGATCTAAGCCTGGATGAGTAATAGAAGAAAAAGAAAGTCTGAAGTCCTTTGCTTGATGTAGTGGGCTCTTATTCCAGCAAGTGGGATTTGCTGTGCAAACATTGATTTGTATACATTTGGTCATGACAAAGAGGTAGAGGACTCATAAATTAGTTGCTGTGCCTCTGCTACTGTAATCTTAAAATAGGTGGCCAGTATGTGATGTTGAAATTTCTTCCCATTTTAGGGAGCTGGGGACGTTCCAGATACACTGGCAGAAGGTTGGTTCTAAAACTGTCCAACAGAGGAAGAAATATGATTCTTTTAAAAGTGTAAAATGTTTTCAGAACAACACGGGTCTTTCTTTGTGGCTTTGAGAAATGTGATGGAGCTGCAAACAGTGATATAAAAGGTGAAAGTTGAACTAGAGCAGTTTCGATAAGGGATGTAGATCTTGAATGTTATTTTGGCAAAACTAGTAAGGTTACATACACAGGTAGGAGGGTAAAACAGCTCTTCTGAAACAAAAACAGAACAGCATTTTCTCTTGTCATGGGCGAAAAAAAAAAAAGCAAAAAAAAAAAGCAGTAACTGTATTATTCGGGTCATCTTTATTCTCTGTTACAAGACAAACAGAAGCCTACAGAGGTGGACAAATATGCATTTGCCTTCATCACGTACTAATACAAATACTGGCAGCTGTGTTGTTGACACTTTCTTCAGACGAACTGGGGAACTGAGGATACTCTTCTCCCTAACACTAGTTATAAAATTGATTTCATGGAACTATGTCTATTCATCCCAGTATGGCCAATGAAAGAACAAACTTGCACATGTGAAACAGTTGTTCAGTATGAAACACTGGGAATGTTTCAAGCTCTTGAGGCACTTCTAGTTCAGTTGAGTGGCCATCTATGAGCATGAAAAAGGAGCAACTGTTGCTCTAACAATCACCCCCAACATGTTACTTCTCACAGTACCAAGTCACAGAATCACAGAATCCCAGAATGGTCAGGGTTGGAGGTCGTCCAGTCCAACCCCCCCACCAGAGCAGGGTCACCTTCAGCAGTCACACAGGATGGTGTCCAGGCGGGTTTGGAATGTCTCCAGAGTGGGAGACTCCCCCACCTCTCTGGGCAGCCTGTGCCAGTGCTCTGCCACCCTCACAGGAAAGAAGTCCCTCCTTATGTTAAGATGGAACTTCCTAAGTTCAAGTTTGTGCCCATTCCCTCTTGTCCTCTCACTGGACTGTACCATCAGCAAGTTTTCTGATGACACAAAACTGGGAGGAGTGGCTGACACGACGGAAAGCTGTGCTGCATACAGCATGACTTAGATAAGCTGAAGAGTTGGGCAGAGAGAAATCTTACGAAATTCAACAAGGGTAAGTGTAGGGTACTGCATCTGGGGAGGAATAACCCCATGCACCAGTACAGGTTGGGGGCTGACCTCCTGGAGAGCAGCTCTGTGGAAAGGGACCTGGGAGTCCTGGTGGACAACACATTGACCTTGAGTCAGAAATGTGCCCTGGTGGCCAAGAAGGTGAATGGCATCCTGGGGTGCATCAATAAGAGTGTGGCCAGCAGGTGGAGGGAGGTCAATCCTTCTCCCCTACTCTGCCCTGGTGAGGCCGCATCTGGAGTATTGTGTCCAGTTCTGGGCTCCCCAGTTCAAGAAAGGCAGGAAACTGCTGGAGAGGGTCCAACAAAGGGCCACAAAGACGATGAGGGGATTGGAACAATTCTCTTATGAGGAAGGGCTGAGGGACTTGGGTCTTTTTAGTCTGGAGACGAGAAGACTGAGGGGGGATCTTATCAATGCTTATAAATACTTCAAGGAAGGGTGCCAGGGGGATGGGAACAGTCTTTATTCAGTGGTGCCCAGTGAGAGGACAAGAGGGAATGGGCACAAACTTGACCATAGGCAGTTCCATCTTAACATAAGGAGGGACTTCTTTCCTGTGAGGGTGGCAGAGCACTGGCACAGGCTGCCCAGAGAGGTGGTGGAGTCTCCCACTCTGGAGACATTCCAAACCCACCTGGACACCGTCCTGTGCAACTGCTGAAGGTGACCCTGCTCTGGCAGGGGGGTTGGACTAGATGATCTCCAGAGGTCCCTTCCAACCCTGACCATTCTGTGATTCTGTGATTCTCTGAGTGGTGTACCTTGCATTCCCTGGGTATGTATTTTCCCTGTGTTTTCTAAATAAGCACACACAGAGCTTTCATTTCATGCATGTAAGAGGAAAGCGTTAAAAAAATGAAACAAATGCCAAGAGAACTGCTTCTTGTCATCATTGCTTTTGATTTTTCACTGTGAGGGTTTCAGCTCCCTTTGCCTCCTGATTCTTAATCTCACTTACTTCTGGGTAATATCAATGTCAAAAGATAAACAGTGGGACCTTTCAGCAATTGGTTGGGAAGATACCTTGACTGGCTGCCAGGCTGCAAAGATACTCCTAAAGAAACCATTAAAAATCTGCTGCAGTGAAACAGGAAGAAGAAAGACCATGTCAGATATAAAATTAACAAAAACCTTATGCTGGCTCAAAGACAAAATGTCCCACTTAGTCTGACTGTTTCACACACTCAAGTTAATACTGGGGTCACTTCTATGCATGGGCAACATCTTAAAATAATAAATATTGCCTTAAGAAAAGGAGTTGCAAGGATCTTGAAGCTAGCTGATGTATGTTATGTCCCTCAAAGCATTAACATCTGATATGCCTTTAGGAAGTGAATCAGGCTCCAAAGTTATCCATGTACAAAAATGAGCTTCCAAACAAACATAAATAATAATAATAATAATAAATATAAAATAGTTAAAAAGAAATAATCAACAGTTGGGTTTAGGTATCACCTTGATTTTTTTCTGCACCTGTGAATCTGAGTGGTGTTTCTCAGTGGAATACAGCTGACTCATTTTAGTGTGAAAGGAGATATGCTAATGGCAACTTGCAAAGGTATGAGCTTGGCAAAGAAATCTAGAGTGATTAATAAAGAGCAGAGAAGAGTTTCGTCTTTTATGATCTACATATGGCTGTCTTAGGACTTGATCCAACTCCCAGGAGCTCCAGTGAGAACTCCAGCTGAGCACTGCAGGTTAGAAACGTCTCCACAAATCTTGCTTTTCTGGAGTTTAGGTCCCTCAACGTGGCTTTAGGATGGTTAGGTCTCAAATTTGGAAGCAGACAGTTGCTTCTGAAGCACTGCACAGTATTATCATACATACACAAAATCAGAGATACAGGGAAAAAATCCTGATTGTTCTTAGCTGCAGCAGAAGATAGCAGTGAGAAAGATGAGGGTCAGAGGAAATTTAAAAGGAGCAGATCTACTGTGCCTTATCCCTCTATTCACAAAAAGTGGTGGCTGTCAGTGACGGGTTTCTCTTAAAGATAATACTAGGGATTACACTTATCTCTTTTCCCCATTTTTATTCACCACACTCTCAGCGACTGGTAGTCAGAGAGCAAGAGGAGGTCAGATAATGGGTAGAAGCTTCAGACTATGCATGTGAGCAGATCACGGTGCTGGGCTACTGTAAATGTAATCAGACATACCCTGCAATGTGGAAAGAAAATTCCATTTAGGAGAAGCAAACTGCTTAATTTTCTCCATGACCATCAATAATCATAACAATAATTGCTGCTACTATTTTTTTCTAATTACAGTTCCAGGTAGAAAGGAAGAATTGGATCTCTTTCCAGTTAATGTTATAGATTTTCCAGCTTCCTTTTTGCAGTCAGAAGGGAATGAATTAATCTCACTGAGAATTCTATTTTATGCCAAATAGATCAGCTCAGTATCCTTAATAGAAGAATCCTATTGCACAGGGCAGCTTGTTAGATCAAAACATCATTGGATGTACAAAATACCAAGAAGACAGGAAAAAATAATCGCAGCATCAACAAACAGCTGCTCATAAGGGAACATGCAACATCATATTGGAATGGGGCAGGACGGTAACGAAGCTCACACTTTAACAGTGATACCTACCTATTGTGTCTCCTTGCTCATGCACCATGGAGGCCAGGTCTTTAATGATCTGGTTCACATCCAACATGTCACTCTGAAAAGACAGAGAGACTAACATTAATCATGAATGTGTCATATCCAAGCATAAAAGGTGCTTTCCACAGTCAAGCTTTGCAAAGAAAAAAAGCAAATCCAGAAAATCTCATCTGTGCAGAATCAAAATAAAAAGTTATAATGCTCCCATAGTAAATCACAAATCCCCTTAAACAAAGCCATAGTTTGCTGGATCTAAGTCAGCCAGTTGACTCAAGCTTTCTGTAAGAAACAAGTACGACGACTAGATTATACGGTTGCTTTTCAGAATTGTGGAGGACTAAGAGAGAATCATAGAATGGTTTAGGTTGGAAAGGACCTTGAAGATCATCGAGAAAAAAACAATAAAACCAGATGCAAACCATTTTCATTCTAAAAATGTTATTTTTGATGCAGACCGTTCATCCTACATTGTGGATTCTTATGTAGAAAGAGGTCATCTTTCAGCATAGCACCCATCTGATAAAATACTGTTCGTAAACTGATGGAGATATGATCACAAGCACACTGAATTTGAAATCTTGTTGGTAAGGAAAAAGGGAAAGACCTGTCTGATAAATGGATTCATTTATATATTTTCAAGTGTAAAAAAAAAAAAAAAAAGTAACTAGATTCAGCACTGAAATTTTCTTAGCAAATTGCCAGTGAGCTTGTTTCCCTCATTTCTGAACACTTACCATATACAAGAGCAAATGTGAGCATATGTCGACTTCATAGGACACTGGCTCTTATAGAAAGAATTAATCTAGCAATAATAGGCATGATAATACACATACTGCTAATACACTACCAGTGAGGCAACATTATCAGAGAAGAAAAAAAGACACTCAAACAGGATGCATTTTGTTAAGCTGTACAAATCACAGAGTCACAGAAACATTGAGGTTGGTAGGAACCTCTGGAAATCATTGAGTCCAACACCCTTGCTCAGAGCAGTCAATTAAACCAGGTTGCTCAGGGCCACATCCACCTGGTTTTGTCTATCTCAACAGTCAGAGGCTGCACAGACTGTCTGGCCAACAGTATGTCCATGTTTTCTTTGTACAGGGGAACCCAGCACTGGGTACTTTCTGAAGCATTGAAAACCTTTCACAGAAAGAATCACAGAACGACAGGGGTTGGAAGGGACTTCTGGAGATCATCTGGTCCAACCCCCCTGCCAGAGCAGGGTCACCTACAGCAGGTTGGACAGGAACGCGTCCAGGTGGGTTGTGAATATCTCCTGAGAAGGAGACTCCCCCACCTCTCTGGACAGCCTGTGCCAGTACTCCGCCACCCGCAAAGGAAAGAAGTCTCTCCTCATGTTCAGATGGAGTTTCCCATGTTCCAGTTTGTGCCCGTTGCCCCTTGTCCTGTCGCTGGGCACCACTAAAGAGTCTGGCCCCATCCTCTTGCCACCCGCCCTTTTGATATCGATAAGCATTGATGAGACATCCTCTCAGTCTTCTCTTCTCCAGGCTAAACAGACCCAGGTCTCTCAGCCTTTCCTCATCAGAGAGGTCCTCCAGTCCCTTGATCATCTTCATAGCCTCTGCTGGACTCTCTCCAGTAGTTCCCTGTCTTTCTGAGGCACAGTTCTCCAGATGTGGCCTCACCGGGGCAGAGTAGAGGGGAAGGATAACCTCCGTGCACCTGCTGGCCACACTCTTCTTGATGCAGTTAACTTGGGGTTATTCCTCACCAGATGCAGTACCCTACACTTGCTCTTGTTGAATTTCATAAGATTTCTCTCTGCCCAACTCTCCAGCCTGTCCAGGTCTCACTGAATGGTGGCACAGCAGATTCCAAAGAATCTGCTTCTCCTGAGGCTAATTGCACAGGAATTCATTTATCTGCTTGGGTCCTCTTGCAACTCTAGTCCATCATGCCAAAAGGCCCGATTGCTTCCATTCCACTTTTAAAGACCTGAGCTTCCCTATTGGCAAATTTAGAAAATGGAGCAAAATGAATCCACACCCTTCTACTGATGTTTGCTATGAGAATATAAGTCGCATAACATTTAATCATATAATGTAATAGAATCACATTAATTTGCAATGAAGCCTGGGAGTCCTGTTGTGAATTCTAGAATATACGAAACTGTTGAATAACTGAAGATGTAGGAGAAACAAAAGGATTAAAAAGCTGTGAAAAATCATAATAAAACAAAAAAAAAACAACCACCCCAACCAAAGACTGGATAATGCATCACAAAACACACTTCATTCATTCACTTGTCAGGCATAATGAAGCTTTAATTATGTACGGTATTATTCATAACTTGTAAATACCGAAGAATATTTTGTAAAAGCAATGATGTTTAAGTAACTTGAGATTGCTCTTGAGCACTGTGGTAGTAAATCATTGCCAGGAAATGAGGAGAAATTAGTTGTGATTTTTTTGGATGGAGGAGTTGGTTTTGTTTTTTTTTTTTGTAAAAATCTTTAAAAGAAGAAAGCTGAAGTTTAGTAAAATGTGAAGAATTGAGAATTAACTTTAATGCATTGTTCTGCTCTCATTTAAATGCTTAGTAAAAGATGATTAAGGAAAAATTAAAAAACAAATAATAATACTAAAAAAGCCCAGAATGCCCAGAATTTAATCTCTCCTGGCTAAATTGCCATGACATCAGTCTTTGGTTTATATTACTTCCAACATAAATAAGATTCTATCTACCCTTCAGTCTGTCTGGTTTTTTTGTTCTGTTTCTTTTACAGCATTTTAAGTGAATGCGGCTTAAAACTCATGGACTTGTTTTTGCATGTGCTTTTGGTTAGGTAGAAGTTATTGCAATATACTGAATTATACATACTCCTTCCCTTCCCCTTCTCTTCTCCCAAATAACAAGTGATAACACAAGAGGAAATGGCCTCAAGTTATGCCAGGAGAGGTTTAGGATGGATCCTAGAAAAAAAAATCTTCACCAAAAGGGTTATCAAACATTGGAACAGGCTGCCCAGGGAGTTGGTGGAGTCACCATGCCTGGAGGTATTTAAAAGATGGGTAGACGTGGTGCTGAGGGACATAGTTTAGTGGTGGACTCGGCAGTGTTAGGTTGATGGCTGGACTAGATGATCTTAGATGACTCTATTTTATGATTCTAAATATTTCCATTGGAATAAAACAAGTGTGCAAGTTGGTCTAAGGAAGACCAGATGATACATTCACTCCTCATAGGGCACTCATCTGCTAATTTAACTGCGGAGGAGTTGGGCTGTCTGCCTACTGATCCCCGGGTATTGAGACGCGGAGGGAAGAATGAGAATGGGAATTCAATGCTGTATTTGAACAGTGCTGTTTCAGATTTGCCATTTATATCCGGGTACTTGGGACAAAACAGCCATCTGCTGCTGCAGAGTATAGATCCTTTTCATAACATTGTAGCAACGTTTAAAATTATTGTTCAGAAAATACGCATTAGTTAAAGGCAGCCACTGAGTTGTTTGGAAGGAAAAAAATGCAACTACTGTATTAAACGAAAAACAAACAAGGGTGAGTTGCAAAGCACAAAGCACAAAGCAATCTGACCTGAAGCAAGGAATCTGTTGAATAATTTAACCTGGCAATGTGAAGTTCCAAAGTCCCTGATATATGTAAGCAAAACAAAAGTAAAAATAGAAAAAAGAAAAATAGCCAGAAATAAAGACCTTCCATAAAGGAATATACCTAGGAGCTATGTTCCTCTTCCTCCTTGCCAGGTTAGCTCTGTCATGAAGCAACTCTGAACTTGCCAGGCATCAGAGTTTGTTAGCGAAATCAGATTGCCTTTTGTTTCCCACATTTGTACATACCATACAGAATTCACAGTGAAATACAGCTCCTCATAAATCCTTTTGACTTCACAGAAACCAGGAGCTCAACAGCTAGCTACCATTCCAACGGTGCTGTTTCCCTGCCAGCGAACTAGGCTGGGCTTTCTTCGGTTTTAATCAACACCAGCCTTTTTTGTCCAACAACAATTCACTCCCTACACTGGGCAGCAAAAGGGAGACATTTAAATTGTTTCATTTAAATCCTCTTTTTTTTTTTTTTTTTTTTTTTTCTTCCAAAGGAGAAATCTATCATAGAGATTAATATACAGTATTTAATACCATCCATGCTGGAACAAAAAGGATCAAGACTAGCCATGGGCAAAATCAGAGATGGCAAAAAAAGATGGGAGTAACTAAAGATGACCAAAAAAAGCAGAGAAGTGCCAATAAATGTGTCACGCAGATGAGAAAACCAGAGAAATGAAAGAGCTTGGGACTGTAAAGATCTGGAGGATTAACTCTCACTAAGGAAAGTTAGTTTGGAAATTTCTTAACAGAAAGTACCAGGTTAAAATGGCAGGACTCTTTAAGTCACTTAACCTGACACGGTAAGTGAATGAAGTCATGGCAAAGTACTGAGATTTTGGAAGAAAAATCTGAAATTCCACCTATGGCAAAAAAACCTTTTGGAAATGCAAGTTTGCAGATAAACTAGAAATTTACATTTCCCATTTTTTACTTTAACAAGAACACAATTTCAACATTTTTAAAATTAATCTGGGAGCAGTTTGGGATTGTAAAACCCTGATATTGTTACCAAGATGGGAACAACCTAATCACAGATCCCAGCAGCCCACTTCCCCATGAGAAGGACACTACTGAGGTATTCCCCAAGACAGCAGATAAGTAAACCTCTCGTCTCTTCCACTGTCATGCTTAGTGGAGGTGAAGATTTATCCACACTGAAAACTTCTAACATAGCCCTCACCTTAAAGATATCTTAAGGACATTTCTGTATTCCAGCCATGAGAATGGCATTAAATAAACCAGAGAGGGGAAACACGCTCTCTTCAAAAGGACGCAGAACAAGCATGTGTTGTCAATAATTTCTCTCGCACATTTAGCCCAAGCCCAGCATCCTTTATCAATGTCAACTCAGGTCCTCAAGGGAAGAGTCACACTTATTCCAAAGAATGTTTGCCTGAGGTTTGTATATAAAAGGGGATCAGAAATATCAGTGATCTGTCCTATTTAGCACATGTGCTTTTGT